TCACAAAGCACATGGAAGATAATTGGTCAATCTCCTCTAAAGCCGATAAATCGCAAAGCGTTGAATGCTTTCGGTGGAGTTCTGACACTCACAGGTGGGTGAACTTATGTGTACTGCTTTTTCAATAATGTGCAATTATGTGCTGTAGGTTACCTTTTTAATTGGCCAAATCTAAACCTTTTAGGTCTTGATTGGATCGCAAAATTCAGGCTCTTGGACGTCCCACTTAATTCTATGTGCAATCCGTTATGTGTTTAGTCTGTCAGCACTCCTTCCAGTAAGGTCAGAGCGTTGGCGGCATAAATTCGCTCAAGTATTCCAGGATGAGCTTGGCTGCTGCACCAAAACCAAGGCGGTATTGTCCCTGTGCCACGACGCAAAACCCATCTTCGGACCTAAAGGTCCAGTACCATATGCGGCGTTACCATGCGCCGATCAGGAATTGGAGAGACTGCAACCAACTGGCATCCCTCAACCTGTGAATTACTCATCATGGGCTGCTCCAATTGTGGTGGTCAAAAAACCAAATGGAATAGCCGAATTTGTGCAGACTGCTCCAGTGGTCTGAATTCGGCTCTGGAAAGTCACCAATATCCGTTGCCACTGCCAAATTATGGCAAATGCTTCGCCGAACTGCACTTGTCGGACTATACCTTCGAGTGAAAGTTGTAGAGGATTCACAAGAGCTGTTGACCATCAATACTCATCGCGGTCTGCTTCGATACACTCGCCTACCATTTATAGTTAAAACGGCATTTGTTATTTTTCAACAGATCGATACCATGCTACGAGACGTTCCATCTGTTGCAGCATATCCTGATGGTATAATTATCTTGGGCACTGATCCAAAGGATCTAGAGAACCGGATTGAACATGTGCTTGATCGAATCCAAGATTATGGCTTTCGCCTGAGAGTAGAGAACTGCGTCTTCTAAATGGATTCGGTAAAATACTTGGGATTCATCATTGATCAACACGGTCGAAGACCAGACCCCGCTAATATTGAGGCCATCCAGAAAATGCCTCCACCACATGATGTGACAAAGTTACGATCCTTCTTGGGATAGGTGAGTCACTACAGTGCGCTTTTGTCAGCAATGCATGATATACGGGGTCCACTGAACGCGTTTCTTCTCAACGATTCTAAATGGTGTTGGAGCAGGGAATGCAGACAAGCTTTTGATAGGATCAAAGCCATGCTATCGTCAGACCTGTTGTTGACGCATTACAATCCGAGCTTGGATATCATTGTTGCTACGAATGCGACAGATAACGGAACCGGTGTGATTGTGTCTCATTACCTTCCTGACGGAACTGAGAACGTAATTGTTCATGCCGCTCGATCGCTGACGCCCGCAGAACGCACCTACAGTTAAATTGAAAAAGAGATTGGCAATAATCTACGCCATTAAGAAATTTCAAAAAATGTTTTATGGCCACCATTTTACTCTGGTCACGGATCACAAGCCCCAACACGCTATCTGCAGTTCCAAGAAGGGCACTCCCGCGTACTCAGAAAATCGCCTTCAGAGTTAGATCACAATGCTTTTGGGATATGATTTCGAAATCAAGTACCAATCGACTGGGAACATTGGTCAGGCCGATGCTTTATCATGCCTCATAAACAAAGATCGACAGGAGCAAGAGGACCTTGCAGTGGCGAGCAATTCGATTGAGCCTGAAGTTGCTGGTGTTGTCGCAGATGCAATTAAAGCCATCCCAGTAACAGCTTCTCAGATACGTGTCGCGACCTCACATGATTCCTTGCTCTAGGAAGTGATCCGTTTCCACAGCTTAAAATGGCCACAGACGATTGAAGGCAGTGAACTGAAGCGATTTCACCAACATCGCAATTCCCTACCAATTGCTGACGATTGTTTATTCTTTGCAGAATGAGTAGTGGTTCCCAAAGAACTTCAGCCGTGAGTTCTGAAGCAGTTCCACACCGGACACTGGAATAAACCGTATGAAGGCATTGGCCAGAAGCTACGCATACTGGCCTCATCTGGATGCTTAACTCGAAGAGCTTGCCCGCTGTTACTCCAAATGCGCATTTGCTTCGAAGTCGCCAAGGAAAACAGAGCTTCATTGTTGGCCGGATCCTGGAAAACCATGGTCGAGGCTCTATGCCGGTTATGCAAGACCTATTGAGGGAAATAATTTCCTCCTGGTTGACGCGTACAGCAAATGGCCAGTATTGCATATGCCATCGACAACTGCTTCAACGACCATTACTGTACTTCGTCAGTCTTTCAGTCGCTTCCGGTATCCGGACGCATTGGTGACTGACAACGGAACTCAGTTCATCTCAGCGATTTTCGATGACTTCTACAATAGAAACGGCAAAACCTATACCATCCACAGTCAAACGGCCTAGCGGAGCGATTCGTGGACACCTTCAAGAGAGCACTACTGAAGGCGAAAGGGGGAGGGACCGACGGCGGAGATCTTTGCCTTTTGCATACAGGATGACTCCAAATCCGCAGGTGTCTCAAGGCAAATCTCCGGCTGAAGCACTGATGCAACGGAAATTGTGATCCAGCTTTGATTTGCTTAACCATCTGACAGGAACAGCCTGAACTGAAATTGCAAGATGGAACAGAAATGCAACAGGAGACACGGTGCTCAGGACCGAATTTTTTTAAAGGGCAACCTGTGCTGGCAAAGGACTACTGCAATAACTAGGTTACCTGGACTCCAGGATGTATATCATTCGCCGAACTAGTAGTGTCACGTAAGACGTTGCTGTTTATGCCGAGGCTTGCGTCCGGCACGGAAATCAATTACAATCCCGTTTCTTTCCGGACGCATCGCCAACGCGCAGCATGTACTCCTCGACACTTCTCGTAGCAGACCCAAAACCCGAACAGGAGACTCAACGTCCTACATCTATGCCGGAATTAGCACCAAGAAGATGGACGGACAGATGCCAGAAGTCAGTGATTCCGATGCAGGTGAACCACAAGCTGAAAACTTATGCGATTCATTCAAAAAAGGGAGATGCTAGGGGACGCAGACTATAATAAAATCGGTCAGACAAAAGGTCTAGTATTCCGGCTTGAAGATGATTCCCTTTTCTCATGGTCGTGACCTTGGTTCAACCAATGGCAGTTTTAAGGTCAGTATGTATGATGACTTTGTAAACCAATGAAAGTGTATCCCATGCACCTCGTTTTTTCCTCTCACAAGAGAATTACTTGTTGACGTCTTTCGATTCCTGTTTTGAGTCCAGCGTTTGGGCTTTGAGGTCGGCACGTTCGCGATACACAGAAGACCACAACAGTGGACACTCTCTTTCGAGTAGAACGTTTCCGCGTTCATCAATCGAGATGTGCTGCAGAATTCTTCCTTATAACGTCGTTTGTGATTCCCAAGGCAGGTGTGCCTCATGAATGAGCAAAATGTCACTCAGCGCATCGCCAACAGGCAGTAGCAGGTGTTCCGCGACTTCTGTATGGACTTGTCAAGTAGGTTTCAATTGGAATTTGTCAAAGCACGGATGTCTCGTGTCTGTACAGATGAACTTTTCTCGACCAAGTGTTATGTGGCAAGATGAGCAATCAATTGTGTTCGACTGTAAGAGCCTACAGTGTCGTATGTGAGTCTTGATCCAATTTCGAGAGACGTGTAAGGCATCTAAGGGAAATGGAAAGCACGGACAATTGGATTCGCCAACCGGTAATGTTCACAAATTTAAGCCTTCCCACTCACAGCTGAATATGTCTGACAACGTCAAACAGTCGTCTGTGGGACGCTTGATAATCCTCAGACGCTGATAGCGAACGCTGAATAGTGAGTGCAACTCACCGAAAATTTCACTTTGTGTCAACGTTTTGTTTAAACTGAAATCTTTTGGTTGTTTTGACAGTATGTGATCAGCGAGACTTGAATATCCATTTGTACCAAAATATAGGCGCAGCAGTCGCACTTTCCAGGAGTCATCCTGAAAGCGGAAATGTGTGCCGAACAAATCCTCTGAGCGTCGCAACCACGCGGCAAAAGTGTTTCGGCAATCAGCGGCATGGTTGAATTCGGTAATGCGAGTGCACAGAAAAGCAATGGAACTTTCCTGCGCATTTCGCGTAGCTGCTTCTGAAGAATGCTGGCGGAGTCGTTGCGTCCGAGGCTCCATCAGTATCAATTGTGCCCCCATTTGTGTATGAGGTTGCTGTAACAACGCTTGAGAGTGTTTTGCGGAAAAGTCCATTGCAATTCAACTTTGCTCCGTCGCCAATTGTTCTCTGCTAACTTTGAATCTCAGCAGAAATCAGTCCACACTTTAAGGCAAAAGCGATGTTGTATGAGCGGCTAGGGAACCGGGTACAATAGTATGAAGTTCCACGGTTGTTCGCTGTCAAGTAGCAACGTTCACTTATGGAAAAGTCGAGGACAGTTATCAAAAGTGGCAGTGTAGAACCGATCGCGACCAATAAGGAGGTAAGCCACACGTCATGAGATGAATACGGTTTTTCTCGAAACTACTTGATACTTCGACTGCACATCACTGGCCCAAATCTTTTCGTCCTGGGAATGATGATTCTATTTCCTGCCAGATAAGTATCTTTCCAGATACTTCCAAATGCATCTAACCTTGTGTGGACTTCGGCAATGGATGTGCTAGCGATCGAGATGGACAGAAACGGAAAAGTGCCTGTTGGTTATGACAAACTGACGTTGACGATTTAAGTTTCAGTCGTTAATATTGGCTATATTGAACGAAAGAAGTGGTCGAATATATCTTTTTGAGTGGTCTTTTAAGAGGTCTATATAATGGAGGCCGACTGGAGGAAAAAGAAAAGTTCGAAAAAGTAACTACAAAAGGAAAGATCTGCAGGTCAGACGTTTTGGGGATAATTTGGAGAGGATCGTCCGCCCGTTGGGGACGCCATGCATAATACACGGTGAACGTAGCAACTGAGCAGGGACGAAAAACATCTATCATTCCCCCAAACCCGAATTCCGGCCGTTAAATTCAAAGTGTGTAGAACAAGCCGACTTACCATATTCGTTTGAAGATGCCCAAATAGTCTCCACGGCCTGTTCAGACTCAGCCAAGCAGAAGAAAGCATGCAGTATGAGCTCTCTCTCAATGGTAAAGCAGCTGACTGATTCGAACGTTGTGCAGAGTTTCTAAAGTACAATCGGCATCACAGCAGGCGATCACATAATGAAGAAATGCATCATTCTGAGAAAGAGGTTCGAACTGTACAATTTAGACTGCCGGTCACACTGCAACAGTTGATCAGAGGTGCTGTAGCTCATCTGATGTCAGCAAAACAAGAGAACAATAAAAACGACACCAAAGTGAGATGGAACATTAGATTCGAAAATGCATTGGTTTCAGGTTTAGGTAGAAATGGTTGATCTTGAAGGTTGAAAGACATAACCGTGAGAGATGGCAACACAAAGTACGAGAGGCAGGGCTTAGGTCGGGGCGACCAGTTTTCTGCGCCAAGTATATATATATATATATATATATATATATATATATATATATATATATATACATATATATGGTTGGCGGCATCCAGTTTCGGATTTTCCTGTCACTGTGGTCAGCCACAGGACGCCCGCGCCTACAGAGGGACCATGGATGGATTGCGCTGCACCACCCACAGCTCCATCCAGTGTAAACCCGAAGGAATAAGACCGGGGGCCACGTGGATGGGAGCCACGATTTATCAATGGAGCCGGCCCACACTCCTTCACAGGCAAACACAAGCACACTGTATTTGGGGAATCAATCGCACACAAGGCGGTGGCTGGACCGTAGTCCGCTCCACACTGAGTGCATGGAACCACTCTTTGATCCTAACAAGACCACAAGGACCGTGCACCCCGTCCCCTCCAGCAACGACCAACTGTCTCCTGGAGCCAGTATGGACGAGGTAGTGGGTAATAGACAGGTAGGCAACTTGTCGACATGCACATCAAGCGCAGCCACACCGGGGATATCAAGCAACAGCCAATCACTTGAAACGACAAAATGAAATAAAATAAATCCAATAATGCATACAGATACGGTGGCATAACTCTTCGCTAAATTAGCATATGAAGTAAGTTGGTTAGCAATGAATCCGCGATAAGGAAAAGATGTCCACAAGTTACTCAAAAATGCTACGAACGCAACAAAATTACCGAAGCGCAATTAGCGTAAGCAACGTGGCCAGCTAATAGAACATTATTCAGATAGGCAGAACAAACCAAATAAAGTGGAATGAAATGTATCCAGCTTCAAAAGACCTAGTTTAAGTGTAAGTTGGTTTAGCCCAACTGCGGTGAAGAAGCATCAAGAATGCAACATCGATTACAAGTTGATCGTAAGTTATTCTCGCTAAATAGACGGAGAAGATTTATGTTTCAAAGCGCAACAGTGTTGGTGTCTTGCTATAGTTAGGAATAGAGAGCGATGGGGATTTCATGACCGCCAAATGTCATTATGCGCGAAAGCTAATATGGATGGTAGTTCGTTACAGTGGCTTTGGTCAGTTAAGTTGTGCTGTCATCGAACGGATTCGTGGCGCCCCTTTCCATTCGTCCGTTGAGTGGATGGCAGGTTATCGTGAAATGTAGATTGTTCATGTCGCGAGCAAGTCGGGTTGTTCTGGATGTTATTCAGACTGTGTTCCGACGTGAAACCCATGGGTCAGATAGAAAGTGCAAGTAAGCCTTCGATAACTATCCTTGGCCTTGGATTCCAACCGTGCATACGTCGACTTAAAAGTGCAGTTCAATGGACCCATGGTATTACTATTGTTTTCTGTGTATGCGCATTGATCAGGAATGCTTGCCTATAGATTTCGGTCCAAGTCTAGACCCGCTACACTGTTCTTATCCATTACAAGTTGGAAAACCTCGCAGTGTGTAGTGGCACGGTATAGAAGCACAGGCATATTAAAAAATAAATAATAAGAATAATAATAAAAGTCGGAGCACCTCCGGCTAAAGTCCATGACAAATAATAAGAATAATCAGCAATAGCAAGTTAATAAGTCTGACTGAGGTTTCGCCGCTATACGACCACAATGACCTAAGGAATGAATACGAATAAGAGGACGAGAACGGGGGCATTGTGTAAAACAAGCAAATATCTAAGGACCAGGCGTATAAACCACTGCGACGAGACTGGACCTTAATGTGGTGCGAGGGTTCGTGCGCCTCAATGATCCACTGAATTGTTCTGGGTGATGCTTCATGCACTTGCAGTCCTTCATACCAGTTTAGTCAATGGTGAAAAGCCAGACAAACTGTCTCCTGGTCATCGAGTCTGGGGATTAGAGTGAGGGTAATTCCTTATAATTCAAAACGGTCGTCCTGCAGCTCATTGCCAACTCCACTGCCTTGCGGTCAGATTTTGAATGAGAAGCTATGGGTTGAGAACCATAGCCGTTCTCCTGTCTACGCCTAGGCAACATGACAGTATCCTGCCTTCGAAATACAATACAATGACCTTCTAACGATTTCTTGGTGCTCTAGCTGTCGCGAATGATAATCAGTGGCGCCCTATCTGCCCGCAGAATGGGTCTTCTCCTATTCTTTTTCCCTCTCTTAGGATTTCTAGTCCTTATCGCCCCGGTTCAACCGCCATTTATCCTCGTTTTAAATGCCCCAATTATTGGTCTCACCAGCTTGGTTCATTGGGTCTTTGTCTGCTAACGTCGACTCACAAGCAATCGCACAGTCACTACGGCTCTGTCAACAAGTCCATTTTCAACCATGCGAACAGACGCAGTCCATTCGTTCCTATTTGGGACCTCCGATTCTCCTTAAGACTGACTTGCCTCAAGGTGCGCACCTTTTACAGATCGGTCAACAAGCAGTCATTATCAGAACAATAGAAACCTTATAAATCAGTATCTGTTGTCTATTTAATATTCGCTAGCTTATTTTACGACCACTATCATGTGACACTGGTGGCACTTCCTCAGTGCGCCTATCTGGTGATGATGCACCTTTGAAACCAGTGTGGGTATCGCTCTGAGTTCCCAGTTTGTAGCTGTTCTTGTAGACTGGATACTAGTTAATAACCGGGTGTGCGCCGTCCGACTAGCGGGTTCGTTCAAAGCTTCGAAGTCACCCAAGGCCAATAGTTACCTGTTTGTTACTGTTGCATACATCCCCATAAACTATAGCGTTGAATCAGTGAAAAAAAATTTAGACCACTAAGTGAACGAACCAATTCCTCACAGAACTACGGACACTGTAGTGTTGACAAGCGATCTGGAAAATTTCCCCACTGATGAGCTGCAGCTGGGTAGCCAACATGGTGTAGGCTCCTGTAAGAATAAATGAAAGCAGTTGTTACATATATGTGAGAATTTTCGTCTATTTCCAGTGACAACTAACTTCTAACATAGCACCCGCAAAAGGGTGACATGCCGTCTACTAGTCGCGTACCAACCATGAACATAAATCCATCAAATCGCGATCAGTTACCATTGAGCAGGTTGCGTCCAAAAATGTCGCTAGATCTGAAGCACAAGTGAGGACTCTGACCACGAACTTGTATAGGCCGATCTTATGAGCAGCTTCGGCGGAGGCCCGCGAAGACGAGGTGAGCGCATAGACACTCACCAACTGGTGAAGCTAGATGTTCTGAATGCATTTTGAACTACACTGCCATCAGAGTTGAGTAAGCGCTCAGTGAACACAGCTGAAATTCGTTGGCCGCATGTTCGCCAGATGTCATTAGTAGCATGGATGTCAAACCAAATCCCCAACCTGGACATTGGGTCTCCACGCAGTCTCTGGAACTTGTGGATGCTCACCGACGTCTTCCGGCGGGAAGCGAACACAATGAGATTCGCAAAGATCTCCGGGTAAAACTGCGTGATAGTCTGAAAAAAAACCACGAAACCTAGTAGTCTTATTGCACATCGGAGATGCTAACAGCCGCTACTCTTGGCAATCCTAATGCTGTTCCGTATAAATACTGAATACGTGTGAGGAAGCAGCAAGAAGAAATATCGCTGTGTAGCTGCACCTAAAATCCCTCAGGTAAAATGATTGATTATATTAAAGACCACTCCCGGTGTTTCATGTTGGCAAGTGTTTGCCCAATAATGTTTTGTATTACGACACCGACTTTGCTTTGACTACGTGCGGTGGCAAGTTGTCCCACATATGCACTGCTCTCCGTTCAGAGCAGGGTTGATGGGCGAAACACTTCAAATTGGGTACTACAAGTCTGTACCGGGGTCCTCGTGTGCTGTTTGGTGTGCACCTCATGCTGAGGTTGAGGTTGCATTCATGATGCCTCTTCACCGCAGTTGGACTAGACCAACTTACACTTAGTCTACGTCTTTTTAATCCGGATAAAATTCACTCCTCTTTATTTGGTTCGTGCAATTCTGTTACCCTGCGGCATATTCTGTGTCAAGTTTGCGTGTTTGCTTTCCCTTAAATTATATGTTGGTTGTTTGATATCCCCGGTGTGGCTGCGCTTGCTATGCATGTTGACAAGGTGTCCACCTGTCTAACAACCTCCACCTCGATTACTGGCTCCAGGAGATTGTGAATCGTCGCTGGGGAGATGGGGTGCACAGTTCTGGTGGCCATGCTAGACTCAAAGAGTGGTTCGATCCAGTGTGGAGTGGACTACGGCCAAGCCACCGCTTTGTGTACGTCTGGTATGCATGATTTCCAACATAGACAGGAATGCTGCTGCTGTGCATATTGAAGGAGTGTGAGCCGGCTCCGTTGATGAAACGTGGCTCCCATCCACATGCCTCCCGGTCTTATTTCTTCGGTGTATGTGTATGGATGGAGCTGTGGGTGGTGCAGCGCAAGCCACCCATGGTCGCTCTGTAGGGTCAGGTGTCCTGTGGCTGTCCCCGTGGAGGCCACAGTGACAGGCATATCCGGAGCCGGATGCTGCCAAGTATGGGAAGGCGGCCTTAGTATGGGGTAATCCCCAAATCTAGTGAATAGGCCAGGCACAAATAATGGGAGCCCACCACAGCCGTTCCTCGGCATCAAAGGCAACTTCCATTCAGTGTGCTCTGTTGGAATGCCTGGTTAGGAAGAGTGGGCCCAGAAAATACATAAACATTAGCGGAGCTCTTGATGTGCGTAATGTGGACAGAGTGAAGGCTTAGGGCAGTATATTGCTGCCCCTCAATATCTCCACCGGTGTGAGATCTATACATGACGTAACCTCATTTTCTATTTTTCTATTGACAAAATTATGGAAAATGGGTTCATTAAAAATGACTTGAAAGATGTGGAGATGCTTTCATGAGATCAAGTCATTGACTTGGAGAAGGTCGACGGTATTGCCATTAGCTGCGACAGCTCACAAACGTGCCGCTAACAGGCACTTGGCAGATAAACAATGGGTATCGGCCGTTGTGGACGGTTTATTACGAAATTTCAGGAAAGATCTTCCCTTGACAAATTTCAAGATAGCAAGAAGGAACAACTTTTCAATAGGATATTCTGAATTTAGATACTTCAGGTATTCTCATCAGTTATTAACATATAAGCAGTAGAATAAAGGTGCTATGTTTAAAAGGAAACAACGTTAAAGGTTGGAGGGTCAATTTGAAGTACCTGTTGCGCGGATGGATTGCGACGCGCAATCTCAAAGTGGACCGCGATTCCTATTGAAGTGAACCTTGGCCATTCGATCACTAGAACCGTACCTGATGAAGCAGCAGCAAATTAGGTGTTGACCGCATGAAAACACTGTACTCCATGACGCATTTCGAGATAGCAGGCATTGAGATTGCGCGTCGCCTTCCATCCACACAGCGTGTATTTCAGACTGACCCTCCAATCTGTCATTCACCGTTGTGCCAAGCTTTGCCCGTCGTGACCCGGTGGCTTAAGAGTAGCGGTCACAACTAACATCCCAATGGTCCCAGCCTGCCCTCTTTATCTGATGAGAGGAAATAACCTCGAAACGCGCCATGGAGTGCAGTGTTTTCAGACGTTCAAGGTCAATCAGTTGAAATTTGAAACAAGCAAAGAACTTGACTAAGACAATGAGAGGTTGGTCATAAACTCACACAAAATGTGACAGGAAGCATGTGGGCCGAACTGAGAAAAGACTGTCGACTAAGAGTTCAAAGCACATTCCACCTATTTATGGTCGCGAATGATCCCAGGCTACCGGCTAGCTCCATCATTCAACATATCCTAGACTGCTCAATATGTCGAAATCCCCGTGAATTGTTCAGGATAATTGACCGACATGGGGATACTCGCCCACTTCAGTTTTCTGAAGGTTTAGCGATTGGAAGGCTGAAACCCAGTTTATGCAAACAGACGGAGTATATGACCAACCTCTCAGTGCTTTGATAAGGTTCTTTGAATGGTTCAGATTTAAACTGACTTTGAACGTTGTTTCCTTTTAAACGTGGCACCGATATTCTACGGAGTACATGTCAACAGTTGATGAGAACACCAGAAATATTTGAATACAGAATATCTTGTTGAAATATTATTCCATCTTGCTACTTTGAGAAATTCTGGTTGTGAAGCATCCAAACGCAAACCCCTCTTCCATGATTGGCATGGACCGTCTCCTGCGCTGACGCTAGGTGAAGAGCAGTTAGTCGTTCGAAAATTCGACTACGTAGCCAGATGCATGGGCAGCTGCGGAATAGAATATGAGATAACGATCTGTATAGCCAAAATTCGAGGTGCCTTTGCCAATATTTACCGCCTGTAGCGCCGGCAACTCATCACACCTGCCTGAAGGGCATAGTCGACAATATAGTGGTAAATCTAATTGTCAATATGGGTCTCTACGCAGTCTCACGAACTTATAGATGCATGCCGGTACATTCTGGTTGGAGGCGAACACAATGAGACTCGCAAAGACCTCCGGGCAAAGCTCCGTGCTAGCCTGAAGCGAGACCGCGAAACCTAGTGCTCTCATCGCGCACCAGAGATGAAAGTGGTCGCTGCCCTTGCTGACCATCGGAAGTTATTCCGTTTGATACGGGAAACGGGCAGCAGGAGACCTGGTGTTAGCGAGACTATACGCGAAGAGAATGGACAACCAATCCACAGCTTGTCAAAACGCTTGGAGCGTTGGGTAAATTAGCCAGCCGTAACTGAGATTTCTCGCCGGCCACTGATAGTCTTACTCTATGGGCCGTCCCTTTGGATCCGCCCTCTCGCCCAGAAGTCGAACATGAAATCGGACTGCTAAGTTGAACAGGGCCGCGAAACCAGATGATCTTCATCCAGCCCTCCTCAAATTCTGGGCACCTGCTCTTGTTGATGATTTGCACGAGTTAGTAGTGAAACTGTGGGAGCAGGAAACTGTTCCAACCGACTGGAGCCGGTCCGTCATTGTTCCTCAAAGAAGGCGCCTGTTCGGAATACGGCAATTATAGAGGAATAAGCCTGAACTCCATCGCCTCCAAATTGCACGCCACTGTCATCCTTCACAGATTGAATGGCACCCGTGAAAGCCAGATTCGTGAGCAGCAAGAGGGGCTTTGTCGAGGTTGTGGCTGCATCGACCACATCTTCACTGTACGTTGATTGTTGGAGCATCGCCATACATATTGGCGGCCCACCGTTGTCGTGTTTCTCGAGATCCAAGCAGCCTCCGAATAGGTAAATCGATGTGCTCTTTGGGATTGTCTGCTCAGGAAAGTGTTATATTTGAGGACGCCTCTTGATATGATTGCGTAACGCCTGATAAGATTGTCACTGGCACGGTTGGGGCACGCTTACGGTAACGGCCTGGAACGCTGACCAATCGAACGCATTTGCGCTGACCTGATGGCGTTAGCTTAGCCCGGGGTACGCGCTGGTGAGACGGAAATTGAGCGAGCGTGAGAACGATCCTAGCCGCACGTATTCGGGTAGACGCTGAGCCCTCGGAACGGACGCACACGAGAGGGGGTTATGGTAGACGCGCACTAGTGACTTAGACGTGAACGCTGGCAGGCTAACGACGCACACAAAATCACGTGACCCGACCGACTCCCAACTGAGGCGAAGAGGGAAATAGGCAAGTGGTTCTCTGAAGGCTCTTTTACGAGCAACAAAGTCAATGCTATGGGTCATTAAGTTAGGGAAAATTGCTACCACGACGAGGTGGTAGTTTGTAAAAGACCACTGTCAAAAGGTGCGCAGTTGGGCCGCGTCTCGGAGTGGCTGAACGCTGCTGCGTTGTGGAGAGGAATTGGACCTCGTTTTCCACAGCCATTCTGCCGGGGTTTCTGGCGAGTTTTTGCGGGAATATTTGACGGGCCCGCAACAGAAAGGCGTGCCCGAGAAATATGTAAATATTATCCGAGTGTTATATGCACGCAGCTCGGGCAGAGTGGCGGCTTACGGCAAGCTGTCGCCGCCCTTCAATATCTCCAGTGGCGTAAGACAAGGATGCCCGCTATCACCTTTCCTCTTTAACTTCGCTATTGATGAAGTTATGGAGATCGCGTTCACAGGACACGACTTAGAAGGTGTGGAGGTGCATCTAGGAGAACAAATTACTGACTTGCAGTATGCGGACGATATTGCTCTCATATGTGACAGCTCATAAGCGTGCCAAGCTACAACATCTCTGGTTGTCAGCCGTTTAGGGCTATGCTCTACACCCCAGAAGTGCAATGCTTTTCTCCAAGATTAGTATGGATGGCCTCTTGTGCTGACATATGGTGGGGATCAGCCAGCAATCGTAAGGAAATTCAAATACCTAGACAGTTGTATCGGCGCCGATGGAATCGAAGAGGTCACGAACCCTACAGAAAGAGCTCGAAGCGTTTTTGCTAGCCTTTGTTACCAATGGCGCCGGAGCAAGATCACTCTCTCCCTAAAGGATAGAGTTTACAATGCAGTCGCACGTCGGACCCTACCGTGCGGTTGTGAACCAAACTAATTAGATCGGAAGACGCAAAGAGGCTAGTTACGTTCGACCACCATTGCCTTCGCAGTTTGCCTCATATCTGGTGGGAACACCGTGTGAGCAGTGAGCGTGTTCCATGTCTTGTATATGGCACAGGAAAATGAAGTGAATTGCTCAGTACCGTTATCTCACGAACCAGGATCCGATGGCTGGGCCACGTGTTGCGCATGCCAGCACACCGACGTCTGATACGTGCGTTGTTTGCGCACCGGGGTTGTGGATGAAAGAAGATGAGGGGAGACCAAGCGGTAACTTAGTCGAGAGGAAGGAGGTCCCTCACTTCAAAGTTGGCGTCGGTTGGTGTGTCCCGACAGTCTGACTAGGGTCCGAACGAAAGAGAACACATCTGGTTGGATGCACTGATTGACATAGCAAGGAGCCAACTTCAATGGAGTTTGTGTTGTGAGTCTATTTGTCCCTCCTGATCCGCTTATCTTTCTCTTCCAACCACGACCTCTGTTTTGACGCATACCAGTGTACAAAGTAGTGTGTTGCATTCTACAGTGTTCAGTTTCTTGTTTTTCGTTTATCTTATGTTTATGTATTATGGAACAATAGTTGAAGTGTGCTGCTCACCTCAAGCTAATGTGATGACGTTTTCCACTTCTAGCTAAAGTGTATAATGATGATGATGATGTAATGTTAATTGAGTCGCGCCTTTCAGTTTCCCTTGTCACTAGTTGGGACGATAAAAAGACCCCATTAGGACATACAAACTCGCGTCTGCAGTTCGACAAATGGCTTACCAAGGAAATGGTTTGTATCAGCACCCGAACAAATGGCGTCTCTAAGTAGATGGAGGGCAACGGTTGTGAGAAGTCACACCAACCTACTAAATTAACATAAGTATCGCAACGACGGTTGAAGACGCTGGTCAACTGTCCTCAAAATTGAAGGGAAACACGTAAATGTAAGTGGGATACACAATAAAAACAGCATTTGTTAATTCGCCAACTTACCAAAATATGCTTAGCTTCCCAGTGATGCGGTACTCGGCGAGCAAGCAGACAAAGATTATCCAAAGCCTTACGGCGCACGAAGGATCGTTGGTCAACACGGACGTACTCAATAAGGAGATCGAGCTATAAAAAACGAGTTTAGAGCATTTGAAAGATATTAGTATTAAGCCAGGCACATTGAAAGAGGAACCACTGTAAAAGAAAAAAGAAAACAGGGTACTAGAGACAAAAGCGCGGCTACAGACGGAAGAACGAATGAACCGTTCAGCACCATTATATCAGGAACCAGGCTTCGATGGCTAGGCCACGTGTTACGCATGCCAGCACACCGACTCCCGCGACGTGCGCTGTTTGCGCGCCAGGGGTGTGGTTGGAAGAGAAGAGGCCAAGCTATGACTTGGCCGAGAGAAATGAAAACCTTCAGTTCAAATCTGGCGTCGGTTGGTGCATTTCGACTGCTTGGTTGGGGTCCAAAGGACGAGGAACACGTTTGGTTGGACACACTTGCCGGTATGAAGAAGAGTCGACCCCAACGGCGTTTGTATTGTGAGCTTCCTTGTCCACCTCCTTCCCTTTAGATTCCCCTCTAATTACGATCTCATTCGGAATGCATAATAGGACATTATATTGCTTGCTTTTAGAATTCTTTGAAGTGCAAATTTTCAGTACCCTGTCATTTTGTATAGCGATACATTACCTGAGGTGTGTTTCTCACCCTAAGCTAACGTGTGTGTGTGTGGTTTCAGACTGAGAATCAGAGATCAAAAAATATGTGCAACAAGATAAACACACCTGTTCGGAAGAATACACAGGGGCAGAAGAATCCAGTGCAGTCAGAGTATCCAAAATATTGACCACGGATTCGCTTGTGTTGTACAACGACAGCATCCGAACGAGGCATCGTCGCGTCTTGCGGGTTGGAAAGTAACAGACAGATAAGTACCTGTTCGATGATATGCACTTCATGGTGCATATGCCTTCCGAGACGAAGCAATTTGAGCTTTATCTCGAGATCCGTGTTGGAGTCACCTAAGCGTTTGCAAACAATAGGACAAAGGCTAGTGGCAAAAGCACTGAGGGCCAATGAGAGAACTAATGGCCGCACCTGGATATTGGTGCCAATTGATGGCTAGACCAAATAGCGGCATCAGACTCCACATTATAGTGGGATTCAATTTGTTTTAGAATGATGTGGTGAACCCCAATGTGTTCTTTACATACTTGACTAAGAGTACCAAATAACCTGCGCAAATGTGTGATAAAAGAGATCAAAGATTACCGTAAGGTGAGAGCCCGAGTGACAGGGTCATTGCTAGCAGTCAGATGCATAACCTTTCGGACGATGTCGTCAAATACAGTAAGCTTCTCTAAGTGGGAACGACAAGCTTTGCAGGCTCGTAAGATACAAAACCGGAGATAGTTGCTCCTATAGAGAGGATGAGATGGAGAAAAACGTTACCCTTCACAAAATACGGAAGAGATTTTGAGAAAAATTGAGTTGACGACGACAGGGAAAGGATATTTTTCTAAAAGATTAGGAAACTGAGCGATAGCTTTCGATTGTTCGCCCAAATTCGCGGACTGGAGGCCTGGTATCCGGCAATGCTTTAATAAAACGATGTAACGTACCTTTATTCAACTCCATTATAAGCACATTTGCATCTTTCCCGATGTCGCTGTCTCCCAGCTGCTGTGTTTCTGAAGACATTGCACATGTAGAGTAATATTCTAAAAAAAACAACGAAGCGCAAATGGTAAGTTGATGTAATCTAGACAAAAGGAAAATACTGTTGACGAACTCTAAATACGAATCGAAGGGGGAAACAGAAAGTTGACACAAAGGAACTTACAAGAGAACGACGGTGTATTGTGGATAAAAAAAGAAATGATTATTAAGTCCAGTGGGATGGAAACTATTGTATTGGTGGACTCACCATAGTGCTCGTAATGAAACATGAAAAAGAACCGATAGGTTCAGATGATATGTATAAATCCAGCTGGTTAGAATTTCGGAAACACCGTTTGATTGCACTATGAAGACTTCTGGCTAACGTGAGTGGGACGGTGATTCGTTAAGTTGTTTTTCTGATATCGTTAGGTTGAGGGTATAAACAACATAATTAAGGAGATCGTTCCTAGGTTGACACATCCGAAGTCAGCGAAAATGTCTATTTAATTCCAATCAACTATACCGTATTGTCAGATTTAACTGATATCCTCTCAGGTTGGCGTTGTGATTCCGGGGGCAGAAAATGTGGCCTGGATCCTTCAGGTTCTGGAAAACGATTTTGAAGTCCCAACGCAAGCGCCGACATAGACTGCTGTACACCAATAGGGACTTCAATCTAAACTGGTAAAGCAGATGGATAAGGCCCCTGATGTTCTTGATTATTCTTCTTTGACGAATCTCGAGAACGAGATCCTGTTTCTACCACGGCTGGATAGCATATTGCACGTGGGGTCGCACGTAGGCGTTAAGCATTTTGGGAAAGATTGAGGGTTCAAACCGACCGAACGCCATGTGAAGAAGACCGACGTGTTTATTAATGTTTCTGGATAACTCTGTTTCGAGTAGCGGAGATCGTCTTGTACCGGTATCCCAATGACACACTCCTGAGAGGCCTTTTGCAAGGGGTGGTCTCCAAGCCTCAGGCTGATGAGGCAGATGGATCACCTTGTCTTTAGTTGTGTTAAATTGGAGTAGGTTCCTTGTTGACCACTCATGAACGCGGTCCTGGTAATGCTGGAGGAAATCGTGATGAACTGCTCGCCATACTTTAACATCGGCGAAAAACGGTAAATTCAAGGCGATATCTCTTGTCAAGTCGACAATAAACACCAGGAATATGCGCGGTCACAGCACCAAGCCCTGTGGAACACAGCATTCGGGTTAGAGATCAATCCCCTAACACGCCACTAAGGTCTCCGTTAGTGAAGAAAGCTGGTAATCCAACCAAGGACAGGATTCAAGATTTAATAGCTATGTAGTTTGTAAGGTAGGATGAGGTGATCCAGGCAGTCTAAAGTTTAGGAGAAGTCCAGATAGACGGTATGGATTCCAGCTCCACTATCGGCCACTTCAGTTCAATTACCTTGTGTCACCAGCATGTTGGTAGTGCATGAGCGGTGTCGTAGGAAGCCATGCTGCTCTGGCGCCAAAATGTTCCAGGTGGTCAATTTAAAGCTCAGCGATGAGCGCTTCCAACACCGAGAGCACTGGGCCATAGTTGGTGAACTGGTGTTCTAAGCTGCGGCAGGCCTGTAGCCTTACGGAACACAAACCTGCCTAGTAATCTGAGAGTGCAGGTCCGAGTCTGCGTAGGGATCGGGTGACTCAGTATCCTTAGCCCACACGCGACTGATGGGTGCGCGGCAACCGTCGGCACTGCGTACCGGCGTACTGTTGATGGCATTTTTGCCTAAGCTGCAGTTATTTCGATAGCGCTCGTTGCATGGAATGTTTAGAAAAACACGGATCCAGTAATGTACATTTCTGAGTCGACTCATCAACAGCGGAATTGATTCTACTTTGGTGATGGAGTTCAACGTAACACCCCCGTAATGCCGGGTGATTCGCAGCACCGAGTAGGTTACTAATGACGTCGCGCTGGTCGATTGCATCCAACTGCTTGCCTCCAATTGACGTCGACTTTGATTATGGGACATCGGAGCAGGTTGCTGGCACTCAGCATCCTTTGACAGGTCACGGGTAGTTATTAACAGACATAGTGATGTACTGCAGGAACCCGGTGGTGCTTGCATTTAGAGAACTTCGCTTCGCTCCTCAGTTTCCGATCCGGTGGACGGTGCTGCGGATTCTAAATATCGGTCTTTCTTGGTAGAAACGGCAACCCAACTTTCACTAGTACCGTCTTGTCATGTTCTCAGCAAAGAGATTGGACAAGGCCATGTGTGTAATTACTCCGATCGAACTGGGAACCGTATCAGCAGTGGGTGAGCCGTTTGAGATATTGGAACAATTGATTTTCTGGGATATTGGTGTCGTGTTACTTACAGTGTTAGCAACTGTTCTTCTCAGCTTGGAGCAGTACTTTCTGGGGAGGTCTGGGTTGCACAACCCACTTATCACAACTGTGGTGATTTTGGTAATCACTGGTTCGCCAAACTTGGCTAGTATGTGACTGTACTACTGAGATAATAAGAACACGCCATTAGTTATGCATACATCAATTAAAAAATCGAGCGACTTGGCAAACACGAGATCAAAAATAGAGGGTACTTGGTGCGTGGGGATGTCCACAAACGGATGTAACGATATATGTAGAGTTAACGTATGAAGTAGTCCCTGCTAGGGCAGTTACGTGAAGTACTAAAGAGAAAACAGTAAACGAAAAAGGCAAGAAGAGAAGAAGTGAGGTAAGCAAGTACGATATTTAAGTCATTAAAAAACGAAACGTAGACTGAGGATCAGTCAGTCTGGAAAAAGGAAAGGTTTAGTGTTGCTACCCACGAGCATCGAGCTGACGCGCAAAAACCTTAACCATAGGTTCCCTAACCACATGATCTGAAAGCGAATTCCAGCGCTCTATAACTCGGCGCGACAGACGAGTTTCCGTCCTAATCCAATCAGACAGTGGTTGCATGCAACTTCAATGGGCGAATGAGGACATTAGGTAATTTAGCGGGACTAAATAGCCCAAGACAAGTCCGGGCCGATCTTACCCGTCAAAACACAGTAAGTGAGAATCAGGTCCCCTCTTATCCTTCAGTAGTGCATGAAGTACATACCCAAACTAAGGAAGCGTTCAGGATACTCTGTACCCGTAGACCCTGCACTAACCTAGTACCCGCTCGTAACACCCTCTCCAAATCCGTTTTGTCTCGGATAGGACATGGTGGACAAGCCTGGATACAATATTCTAAGTAGGGTGGTGCGAATGCCGAGAATAGCATCGCAAACATATTGGCCGTTAGGACTCCTAAAGAGCGGCAGACAAACCACATCATACGAAACCCCCGACAAGTAGTCTTCTTCCAATTGTCGCAAGAGTGAAAAGATGATAAATGGACGAAACCTAAAACAATCCACTAAGTAACAACACGGATTTCACTACCGCCGATAACATATAAGGCGGGAGGACTAGCAGCTCCGATTCGGAAAACAGAGCACTTGGCCTGACTTATTGGCATCAACCATAAGGTAGGCAATTCGCAGAGACTATCCAAGGCACACTGAATTGTCTTAGGACCCCACGGGATATCCACAATATGCCAAAGCTTAAGGTCGACAGCAAACATTAGTGGTGCTACTTCTAGCTCCCCCGGTAATTCGTTTACATAGATCGCGAACAACAATGACCCCAATACCGGGTCCTGCGGGACGACACTAGGGACAACTTACCTAAGTGAAAGGCTACGCCCCACGCTACACACTGTTCCCTTCAGGAAATCAAACATCCATTTAACGGTGCGACCAGATATCCCGTAAGATCCCTACCTAAGTGAGGGCCTAAGGTGAAGAACAGTGTAAAAAGCTCTCGAAAAGTCCATTAATAGCACGTTTACAACGTTGCCACTGCCCACCGCTCCGGCGCAGCTTTCATGAGCTGCAAGTGAAAATGAAATGAAATGAAATGTGTCAGCTTATACGCCGTAACGGCGCTTCGCTGCCGCGCGACCACCACCAGCCGCGCGCGGGCTGGGTATACCGCGAGGACGCCCACCCCTACGCGGATTCGAACCGGTGACCTTATGGTTGGAAAGCAAACGTGCCAACCACTCGGCCACCGGCTGCAAGTAGATTAGTCTGACACGAAAATCCCTTGCGGAATCAAGGTTGCGCAACACTGAGAAGGCTCAATCTATTTAGGTGGTTCTCCACCGAATCCGTTATTAGCTTTTCAAACAACTTGACTACTACGCTTGTCAAACTGACAGGCCGGTAGCTCGCGAGCAGAGCGCACGCACCGTCCTTTAAGATCGTACAAATGATTACCTTCCATTCCGAAGGTAAAAGACAGCTGTAAAGCGATTATGGAAACACGCATGTGAGAAGACCACGCAGCTCCACGGTCAGTTCATGCAACAGCTTCGGATGAGTTAAATCAAGACTGGAAGCTTTAGAGGGATTAAGGCCTAGCAACAGTAAGAATCTTCTAACTTTTGAAACCAATACCTCTGGTAAAGAGGTCTCCCGAGTAAAGACCCCAGTATACTGTTCACTAAGTATACAAGCCTTGTCATGGTTTGCGCATGGGTACCGTCTGCTCGCAATAACGCTGATATAGACCGTTTTGCTTCGCTGCATCTTTTAACGTAAGCAGAAAACTTCTTGGGATTAGCAGCGGCCGAGTTCGCTAAACTCTGCT